TAGACCCTTTCTAATTCCCACAAACCCCCAATCTACAGAACGCCGTCATGTCCAGCGCTTCAAATGCACAATAAGTAGAACAAGTTATAAAATGACGCAAGCCGCGCATGTCGATGAGTTACTTGCGCTGCTGCTTCTGGTGCTGAAGCATGACGACAGAGTAGCTGCAGTTGGTTAGCCGCATGCACGTGGTCGGTGTAGGTTACTGAAGAACTCACCCGACAATGCCACCAATAGCAACGAAGACACCCAGGACCGACTTGTCACCGATGGCACGACCGGAGACCATCCAGCCGAGAGCGACAATTGTGCAGGTCTTGAGGTGGCCGACAACGGTACTTGAAACGGGGCCGGTTTGGGCGATGATGAAAAACTGAGAAATGTTGATGAGAGAGGCGAAAGCACCAGACTGAGAAAATTAGCAGCTATCCTCGAGTATCTCAAAACAGTTCGACTCACCATGCCGATCATGAGCCAGCGGTTGCCGGGCACAGTCATCCAGTCGGGGAACGTATCGACGAAGGGAATGACATAGAGCAGCAGGAAGGAGGCGATGGGAGCCTGGTTGTACAGCAGCTGCATGCTGGACATCTGGAGCTTGCGGTGGTAGCTGGCAATCCAGACGGTGTAGAGCGACGACGCAAAGATACCAGTGAAGGCGAAGAACACGCCCAGGCTGGAAGTCGTCTTGATCTTCGAATCTGAGGTGGGGAGAGAGTCATAGTATGAGACCATTCCGACGCCAAGGCAGGCCGGGATGAGAGCCAGGATCGCATTCCGGGGCAGCGTCGCCTTGTACAGGACGAAATTCATCAGGGCGACAGTCGGTGTCAAAAGAATACGGGCGATCTGATAAAACGTGACGGAAGAAAATGCCAGCGACAGGTTCGGCAGAATAACGTTCAGGCACATGGCGATAGAAAGCGGGAGGAGGTCCCTGATCGAAGCCCGGCGCGGGGTGAAGTAGGCGAACATGGGTCGCGAGAGAATGTGAAGCGTGAGGAAAGTGACGAGGAAGTGGAAACTCGCAAAGGTGAGCTGGCACAACTTCCATTGAGGGTCGGAGAAGATGGCCTTGTTTGTGAAAACCTACTCTCAAAGTCAGCAAACACAGCTTCTTCGACGTTGTTCCTTGTCTCCGAGGGTTTTTCCAAACTCACGATTCCAATGGTGGCCAAGGTGTTTACGACCATCCATACAACGGCACCGGCGAAGCTGGCCTTCGCCTTCGGGGGCTCCTCTTTCTCATTGCTGGAGGGCAGAAGCTTCTCATCCTCCTCAGCGTCGGCGAGCCTCTCTTCGTCGTTGAGCGACTTGAGATTCTGCACGCTGTCCTCCATTGGATCCAGCTTGGTGAGCTCGTGAAGAGTCGCGGTTTCGGTGGAGGACGAGGCGAAGGACCCCGCTCGTTCTGTGCGCTGGCTGTCGGCCATTGTGAGAATTTTGCGGATTGAGAGTGTGGTTAATGAGACCGCGAGAGTGAGCGACGATGGGTGGTTTGGAGGCGTGGGTGGTGCGAATCGGTTATCATCGAGGGGTTGGCGGTCCTTTTTCAGTCAACCATGGAGCGCTCGACAGCGGTTACACGAAGGGAGTCTCGGGCATGTGCTGGAATGCAGCCAAGGGAGAAAACTCGTCTTGTCAAATTCCGGAGATGGTCGCGCGGAATTGACGGAGAGGAGTGACGGGTGCAGATATAATGATACACATGGAAAGGTCCGAGGCGTTCTTCTTGCCAGGTCTCGGCGGGCGACGGTCGCACCTACCTAGTACCCCGGGCTGAAAGCGGCAGGGGTAGCAGAGTGGAGGGCAGGGGCAGGGGTCTGGGACGTGGAAGGTGGGAGGGAGACGACGCAAGTCCCTCGCCGGTCCACCGTCCCTGGGAACTACCTCAGAACCTACTGCATAGTACACCTCGCTCACGCTGTAGTAAGGGTAGTGGAGGGCAGTGGAGGGCAGGGGAGGGGCAGGACGGGCGGGTGCGACTGAGGAGAGCGAGCCCAGGTCCTGAGGCGGGCAGGGGCCAGAGAGGGGGATTAGCACGCTGGCACGCAAGCTCCGGCGCTCGTCAGGCCTGTCCGTCTCCTCAGGGCTCTTCTCCATCCAAAGCTAAGCCTTCCGCTGCCTGCCCTGGTCTCGCCTTTTTTGCCCTAGGAGCCCCCGACGGAACAAGGCGACTTGGCCGCCGTCCGCGTCCCTGGGATTTGGGGATTTAGGTAGGGCTTGTTGAGACGGACGGGACGGCAGTGGGTGGAAGCAGGCAAGTAATCGTCAGATTCAGATTGGGGGCAAAGAAATGGAACTCGCACCAACGCGCGAAATACAAGCGACGGCAAATAGTCTGACGGCACCATCCTCTCTGGCCACGTACTGCTCGGTCGCTGCTAAAGACGAGCGGCACAGGTGGAAAGTCACAAGAGAAGTACCGCCCACCCGAGGCTACCTAGGTAATAAGGTACGGATACTTACACTGGATCGCCATCACAGACCGCGCGCCAGACCCGAAGCCGACTGCATCAAGTCGTCCCTGGAGACAGACTCTTGGGCTCTCGGCCTGCTGCGTACAAGACTGGCTCCCCATGGCTTGTTGATTGGCGTCCACGGCGTCCGGGGCTTATTTTGCTTCTCCCAAATTCCCAGCTTGTTTGCCCACCCGAGGGGCTTATTAGGTTCGTTCGTTTTCGACGCCCAAAACATATGTCTCCCAGCAGCAGGCTTCTTAGCAGCAGGCTAGCGCCAAGCCACTAGGAACTCGTAGACTTCAGCCCTTCTCCAGCCCAATCACCGTCTGGATCCACGAGAGCCATCTGCAAGACTTGTTTGCTTTGCCATCAAATCTGCAACACTCAGGATGGCAGCCTGAACCTGATCCGTGGTACGGTACTTTACAGTACGCGCAAGACACCCGCTCAGATGTCGCCGTATCGTCTGGTCTCTGGGATGGTCCTTTTTTTCGCGCCGCAGGACAACCGCAGGGCGGCAAGCGGTTTGGCGCAATACGAGACCACCATCTTTTGGTTCCCCCCCCAGGCCTCATCAGCGAAAACCATGAGATCGACGAACGCAGCCTTGTCGTGCTCATTCACTTTGTATGGGCGTCCAAGGTAATTTTGAACCACCATGTCCCCGGCTCGCGCTTGAACAGACGGAGACGGGGCCTGCCACTGTCTGGCAATGCGCGAGAACACCGGGCTGTCCGACAATCGCCCCAACTCTCTCTAATTGTTCTCTCTTTCGCTCTCGCAGCCATCCCAGCGAACCTTCAGTGATCTGATCCAATGTGGGCACACGTCACCATGTGGACCGTGGCCATTGGCCTTGACACAGAGTTGGTTTCGACGGAGCAACCGGCCAGTTCTGACCCAGGATGACCGCGTCTCTGACAGTGCCGTCCTCCTGGGTTGGGTTGGGTTGGGTTGGGTTGAGTTGAGTTGAGTTGAGTGACCCGGCGCCTTCGGCCTGGACTGTCCCCAGCAAATCGAACACTTCCTGTCGACTCCCCAAATAAAGTTTGACAGAGAACAATTAACAATAAACTCCTAGATTGGAAGGTTTGCTCTCTGAGACAGCGAATCTCCAAAAGCCAAGCGACAGTGGTACTGCCAAGCGCCCAGCATCAAGCCTTCGTCCCTGTCACCATTCACTGCAAAACGTCTGTCAGCCCGTCGAGAGCAAGAGACCTGTCTTGGCCGCTGTCGCACTTCATTCAACCAGTGCAACAGCATACCACAACAGCACGGCACGCCTCATCCGCCCGTATATCCGTCTGCTCCACCCACCGTTTGGTCTCAAACTGTCACGGTCAACCGTTGACAAGAACCTCTAATGGCTAGGACATGGGATGTTGAAACGCTTGACCAGAGAAGTCTAGAGTACCTACCGCCGCGCCGTGGCCCAAAGTCAACTTGCGAGAACAGCGAGGTGATGAAGACTTGGCATCACCGCTTCTCGAGAATTCGCCATGTCCTGATCCATGATCTTCAATGCCCCTGCGTCAATCTCATCTGAAGACGGCAGCAGCATGCAAGCCCGCAGCGCACCGCCGGCGGGACGGGGTCTCTCGATGGACGTGGTGGTGGCTCCCTTGGTGGCCAAATTTAGCTTCTCTTGACTTTATTGTCAGGGCTTGGGAGCCCCCCATTGCTCGCTGCCGGCAATCAATCGTCGGATCATCTGGCGCATATCCCTCGCGATGAACATGTCAGTGGTTGCGTGGAATCTGATTACCGTTCACTCCGTGCCTCGCTGGGATAGGCCAATGTTTCCCTTGCCTTCCGAGAATTCACGTTGGAGCGTTTCAGCATTCCCCGGACACCACGAGGCTGTGTGGTGCGTGGGCCAATCCGAGATATGGAGGGAAGAGCGTGGTAAATATGAGTACCACATTCTTGCGCGGAAGACCCCCACAAGACCATCTCAAGCCACAAGAGACGCGCAGCCGCCCTCCCCGGTCTAGACGGCGCGCCCGCGCGTGCTGCCGGAGCTGGCGAAGGCTCTGGTCATCACGGCTCCACGTCGAAGCTGCCGGGCGAGTGGGAGTCCGGGCTAACATGCTCCGCTCGTCGTCAGCCAATGGAAGAGTATGCGCCGACTACACATTCGTCAGCGAGTCGAGTCCGTGAACGTCGACGGAATGGTGACCGAATCTAATGTTTACACCGTCCAAGGCTGTCTGTGGCGTCCGTCACGGGCCGCTCACGAACTGGTCTTGGAGGGCACCATGCATGTCGTATAAACACGATGTGGCCCTGTCGTGCGTGCCGCAGGCTCGGGCGCATGGCTCATGCTGATAATGGCCAGGAAGCAGTTCAACGCAGATGGGTTACACGTGTGGCTTGGCGGAGATGACAGACGGCGTATAGGAGGTCGGAGTTGCAACCTCGATCTATCTGAACATTAGCATATTGCGTGAGCATTCCTTCGCCCCTGATGTCAATGTGGCTATCTTTTCCTCCCTGCAGACAGGTGTCCTGAGCTCGTCTGAGGCTGGAAAAAGCACATCAGAGACTTGGCGACAGTCTATCCCTTCCGTAGGACATGGCAGACGAACGAGTGGTGCGGCTGGCCAAATGAGACTTAGTGGACGGCCCAGAGGCGTTCATCGACTGCGACATGCCACGGCTGAGGCGAGCTGAGACCGTAGTGTTCTGATGGTTCGAAGGTGCAGTACTGCACTAGCAACGAGCTATCAGCGAGAACTCGTTGGTGGCCACAGCGCAGGCGTGGAAAGCTTCCAGTGTCTAAAAGGAAGACGTACGTAGTCGTTCTCCCTAGCTTCAATTAGCTTGCGCGGAACGAAGGGGACCCATTCCATTGGGAGTCTCGGTTAGATTGGGGTTGCATCTGTCAAGCGTGCGGCATCTCAAGATAGAGCGGCTCCTGGCGGTCGTGGAAGGTTAAGGGTCTCGGTGCTGTCGCTCGTAGGGTGCCATCGGAGACTCGAGAGGCAAGGTACTACGCAGTACACTAGGTGCGCAGTACAAAGTACATGCCTTTCGACGGGAGCGCAGGAACTACCGATGGAAAGGCGCCTGCCCTGGTGTTGCCAGTTGGAGGTGGGGGTACGTACCTCGGCAGTCCAGAGTGGTCCAGGTCCAGTTGCCCCCGAATAGGAAATACCAATGGTGGGCACTGGAGGCCGAGGACTTGAGTCGCCGCAGCTCGCACAAATCACGATTAATTAGGGATGCTATGTAGCTTCATTTCCAATTTAGCTTGATTTCGACGTGCACAGCGACACGCAGCATCGGGCGCTAGTGCGCAAGAAGGCTATCAGCTGTCCTCCCAAGCCACGGGTGACATGACACGGCATGGTGACAATGTGTTAATGGACATGGAATGGGGAGTGGACACCTGGAGTGGTGGAACGGCGGTACTCTGCGGTGTCGATGAATCTCATCTATTTTGCTCTGCACTTTGTTATATCGACAAGTATTATTGTCGTCCATTCTGCCCGCAGTGGTTATTTTGGTGTCTTGGTGTCGAGGCGTGTAGGGGTGCGCGGCATTGTGTTGTCACTGAACCTGAACCTGGCGCGGACGGGTAGACGGCCATTCCATGTCCAGGTTGCCCTTGATCGGCCCCCGGTACGCTACGAGCTGCGAGGAGAAGGGGACGCAGAAAAAAGAAAAGAGGAAGCGAGAGCGGGCAGCAAACAGTGCCTCACAAACACAGCGAGCGTCATGTTTCAAAGTGTTGCTTCCTTGCCAAGACCCTCTGGGAGTCCACCCCCACCATCCACTCTCCAGCTGCAACAGGCCAATCACGGCCGTCCTCATCGCTGCTAAACCTGAAGTCGGAGAGAACAGCCCACCTCCCACCCGGACGGGCTGGCTAGATCGGTATCCAAAGTGTGAGTGAGGTGCGGTTCTCAATGGCCGCCCCCAAGCATTCGGCGCCATTCGTTCACCCGCAATTCCATTGCACTGCACCTGCAGCCCGCTTGTTGATAGATACCTTAGTGACCTGCTCTAATAGCGTGAGGGGCCCGGTGTCCCGTCGTGCGGCAATCCAATTGTTGAGGAATTGCCTCCATTACCTGGCAGGTACGGATACACTTGTGGTTTCCAATAGCACCCCGCGCCTGCTTGCGCCTGCCCTGCACTTTATTGGAGTCTCGTCCCGTAGCTGCAGTCGTAATCGCATCGCAGCCACCTCTCAGTAGCACGTGTACCTGCCCAGCCTACGCAGCTGTATCCAACAAGCTCCATCCAGCCCTCTGCATCACGCAAGCTGCACCGCAGACACCTCTTCAAGCTCGTCGCCAAGTACTTCCTCGAGCTCGGCCCGGTACTTTGTGCTCTCTATTCAGAACGATCCGACCTGTTCCTGGCCTGTTGTTCCCCAGTCGAGCTTACGCCAATCATCTCCATCGAGCAGCCCTTGCTGATCTGTCCGCCGGCCGACTCATCTCACCGTGGCCCTCATTGCTATTAGCAGAAGCTACCAAAGTGCCCGTACCAAGTACCGCACCGTACCGTCGTCCCTCCTCTTACACACCACTTCACCTCTCACACACGCCAAAAGAGGTGCAAGACTACAAGTACTTTACTTGCGCAGACAGCCCTGCTTTGCATGAGGGTGCTGTGCTTCGTGCGGCCTGCCGACTCTCTATCTGAACTCTGACCTGTCATTCTTGCAGACTTAAAAAAGGTGGCAGGTGTCCCGGCTGCCCAGTCCTCGCCCTTCACATCCTCCGTGCCACACCGATCTCCACGTCTGCATATTCTCGACCCAAAGATCCACGGACGGACTGACGACAGAGTCTCGGCCGAACATCTGAAATTCCTCCTCATACCATTTCGCGCCCTTCCATTATTCGCTGAGAGTGCGATCCCACCTGGCCTGCTGACCTCAGCGAATCCCGTCTTGCGAACCGCCCAACCCACCCCGACCACCGACCACCGTGGCCCACGCCGAACATCCCTTGCCTCAGCGCGACTCGGGTGGTGTGAGACAGGTCGGGCACAGATCGCCAATGGCCTCGCTCTAGACAGCGATAGGGATATCCCATATCTGAGGTAAGATTAATTCCCCGACAGGAGCGTGTCTTGCGTGTGGGCATCCAGCTTAAAGTGAGTTTAGGGCAGCCTTCACCTCCCTTGAAAGGGCAGTTTGCTCTGCGTATTTGTAGCTACATCTCGCCCGAACTGACTCGCTGCCTACCACGAACCTCAAACCTTCCTTGAGCTTCCCCGACACCAAATAACCTTCAACCTCCCACACTCTCTCGGAGCTTCATCGCAAGAGACCACATTTATCCACTGTCAAAATGACTCAACTCAACGGTCAGAACCGGCAGCAGGCCAGTAAGCATCGCCCAAACGACATGTCTCCATCACCATCACCAAAACTGACCAATTCAGCCTACAGCAACGGCCACCGCAAGTTTTTTGAGGATGTCGGTGTATGGAAGGATGCTCCCCTTCTCAAGGGAAGCACCAAGTTCGAGCCTCTGCCTGATGTCAAGAACATCATGATTACCGGTGGTGCAGGCTTCATGTAAGTTGCGGTCTTGGCATTGCGCCTTATCAGTATCACGTCCCGCGGCACTAACAAATCCCTCAGCGCTTGCTGGCTCGTCCGCCATCTCACTCTCACTTACCCTGATCACTACAACATCGTCTCCTTCGACAAGCTGGACTACTGCTCGTCGCTCAACAACACCCGTGTGCTGAACGAGAAGTCCAACTTCACTTTCGTCCACGGCGATATTACCAACCCCACCGAAGTCGTCCAGTGCCTGAAGAGGTACAAGATCGACACCATCTTCCACTTCGCCGCTCAGTCCCACGTCGATTTGAGCTTCGGTAACTCTTACGGATTCACACACGCCAACGTCTACGGTACCCACGTGCTGCTGGAGAGTGCCAAGAGCGTTAACATCAAGCGCTTCATCCACATCTCTACTGACGAGGTCTACGGTGAGGTCAACGATGATGACGATGACCTTCTTGAGACGAGCATTCTCGCCCCCACCAACCCGTACGCTGCCAGCAAGGCTGCCGCCGAGATGCTGGTCCAGTCCTACCAGAAGAGCTTTAAGCTTCCCGTCATTATCGTCCGTAGCAACAACGTCTACGGGCCCCACCAGTTCCCCGAGAGTGAGTGTGCTGCTCAACGTAATCTCATCTCAAGCTGACTTTGTCAAAGAAATCATTCCCAAGTTCTCATGCTTGCTGAACCGTGGTCAACCTGTTGTCCTCCACGGTGACGGTAGCCCCACCCGCAGGTACTTGTTCGCCGGAGATGCTGCCGATGCTTTCGACACCATCCTTCACAAGGGCCAGATGGGCCAAATCTACAACGTTGGCTCATACGATGAGATCTCCAACATTGATCTGTGCAGCCATCTGCTCAAGGAGATGGGAATCCCCCACGACACGACGGAGGAGTTCAAGAACTGGGTCAAGTACACCCACGACCGCCCCTTCAACGACCACCGCTACGCTGTCGACGGCACCAAGCTGCGTCAGCTTGGCTGGGACCAGAAGACCAGCTTTGCCGAGGGCCTCAAGATCACGGTCAACTGGTACCGTCGCTTTGGTGAGGAGTGGTGGGGTGACATCACCAACGTCCTTACGCCGTTCCCCGTTGTCCAGGGCCTGGACGTGTCCGGCGACCAGGAGCCCATCAGCAACTCGCCGCCTACGCCCGAGAACAAGAAGAGGAAGACTGTCGACGGTGTCAACGGCAACGGAAACGGCCATGCCGTCAGGGCCTAGGCTCCATCAACAAAAGCTCAAAACTTACAGGACGGCATGGCTACGGGGCATGAGGGTACACGACGAGACGTCCCGTTCATTATGATGTAAATCTATAGACTTGCGACGCCTGGGACTGGCACGAGGTTTGCATGGCAAATTGCACATGATTTTGGCGCAGATAAGGAGGCATATGGAAACGTACCTATGGAGTTAATCATAGAGATTGAATGATCGAAAATTCAAAGCGATTCACTCATCTGGTGTTCCCTCGCATGCTGTTTGCGTCGTGCCCTTCTACTGATCGAACCAGTCAACGTTGGAAGTTTGGAGGTCCCAGTACGCCACTGACGGTTCATCCGGCCAGCTCTAGCGGATGCCGATCTGGCATCGACGGAAACGATTGCCGCACGGAGCCTATTCGTCAACGGTGTCGACGAGGGAGCAAGTAGGCCTGATGTGGATGGAATAACATGTGAGCTATGACTTCATGTCAACCCAGACCGTGCAGACGCGGATCTGGCCGGGCCACGCGAACCCCCCTTGGGATCACGGCCGCCGTTGGTCGGAACCGGGGGCCGATCCGTAAGCGAGGGCTCGTGCAGGCTCGAATGATGGAGTAACGCTCCCGCGGGGACGCGATGTTTGGTTCGCAGTTCGAGGCTACCCTAATTTTACGAATTCGGACATGGCATGAGTGGTTCCATCTTCGTCTTGCAGCTCCGTCGTTCTGGCTACGGTGGTTTTTGTCGAGGCAAGGTGGCATCAAGCAAACGACTCCAAGCTAAGAGTGACGTGATGATGGGCTTGTGTCTAGTCGGCCGCGCTCGTGTAACAGGCGAGGGGTTGGCTGTGCCGCAGAACCTCGTATGGCGAAGGCAGTCGTACTTTCTTTTTCTCTTCCTTCAGAGGAGGGCTGGAACCACGTTTATTTCGCGCAGAAGTCCCAAGGGGACCCGAGCCTCACACACTCTCCCTTGGCCGGGTGTCCATTCCGACCCCTCGTTGATTAAGCTCCCCCCCTCCTTTTGCACGATTGCGCGCAGCAGGCTTTCTTTTTTTCAATCCTGTGGGTGCCGTCATCGTCGATTGGAGGGAGGGAGGGGGAAGAAGGGCATGAAAGGCCTTGGCCACGGCCCATGCGGGCGGTATTTGCTTCGTTTTGGGAACCACGCAGACGGGTGCGTTCCCATTTAAACCCAGCAGCAAGGGGAGGGAGGGGGTCGGGATCACTGGAAGACTTCTGCAGGAGAAGGAGGGGCGGAGAGACTCGCACTTTTGGCACGGCTATTGCTCCCTCGGTTTTGTTTGCTTTCTAACTCCGTATCTGTGGTTCTGTCTCCTGTCTCCTGGCTGATATCCGGGCCGGGCTTTGCCTGACCATCGCTCACTTGCCCATCGGAGCTGTGTCCGCCTCCGCCGCCCGGACGAATGAAACGACGCCGACAAGTATCCGTAGAGGAGACAGAAACCCCCGGTATTCGATGCCCAAGGGCCAAGAGTGTAAGGGGGACCCGTTTTCTTCAGCGGCGTCGATGGGCACAGACTTGCGGCTTTCGTCTCTCGGTCAGGCTCTCTGCCTCCTTTTTCCTCTCTTGCCCGACGAATACCATGTTCGCGGCAGACGTGGCCCCCTGGATGTTCGGACTGGGTTGGGTGTGCTGGTGAGTCGCTGCACCGGTTGAAATGACAATCTGCTGCTGTGTGGTGCCTTGGGACTGGAGTTTGCTGGGCAGCGAAGGGTGGGCGGGGAACCGGAGAACCCACACACGGGCCCAGCCACCCCCGTCAGCCGGGCCAACCACGCTGCAGTATCGGAGGTGTAGTGGAGACTCTGGGGCCGGGGGATTGAACAGTTCTGGGCTCGCATCGGCGGGGGAGGGAGGGAGAGAGGGGCTAGCTTTTTTTTTCCCTCGTCCTCGGACTTGGATGGCGAAGAAGAGCCCGTTATCGTGGCACGGAAGCCAGTGAACCACAGGCGCGGATGCTTGGCTGGCGGGCCTTTTGGTCTTTTGGTTCTTTGGTTAAGGTAGGCAAGGTAGCACTTGAGAGAGAACTGTGGGCGCGAGGACTCCATCGTGCATAGGGGAAGCTGCGCCGGACTGCAGTAGCCTTCGTCCCGTTGGCCGTCCCAAGTGCGTCGAGTCGAATCAGCTTGGCTTCTGGTCTCTTCTCTCATGCATTCGAGGGGCCCAGACGGAGGGGCTGCTGCGTCTGTTGCATGTGTTGGGTGCGACGACAGGGCAGCATGTTGGAGCATGTTGGAGCATATTGGTCGTCTGGCCCGGTGTCATTGGCAGAGCTCACCTCATTCTGTGCCGTGTAATATGTTTTGGACGACGCTAACGATTGACTGACCTTGCAGATGGAGCGACGTTGTTGCTGCTGTTGACTGTTGCTGTTGTATTCTGACGGAGCACGCAAACATGGAACGAACGAAAGAAAGACATGCAGCATAGCATTGGTAATGCGAATGCCTTATGACTGACACCTTGGCTTTCCCCCCATCCCCCATTAAGATGCCGTTTATTGACATGGCCATCAGCAACCAGAGGCAGCTCCCGCGGTTCATGTTGTCCGTGGTATGTCCAAATCCACGGCAGAAGTGCGGCAAGCAAGCAAGCAAGCCAACGGCGCATGCCGCCGCCCATCCCACATCCACTTCCTCGGGCGCATCACGGTCCAACAGCCAAAAAAGCCAAAAGGGACCCTTGAAGGACGCTCTCCACCCTGGACCCGTCCTCGCTGCTCGCTGCTCGCTGCTCCCAATCCATCGCCGGTTCCCACGTCCCATCCCGGCAGCTGTCAGGATCCTGCGCAGCATGCACTGGCCACCGTCACCACACTAGGACCTTTCCCCGGGGGCCAGCCCATTCCTCCTTCAGTTCTGATCCCACCTTACCTACCTTGCCTACCTTACCTGCTCCAGTGCCTGTTCTACGGATACCTTACGCTGCGCTGCGCTGCTGCGTCTTGTCGCCTGATTATCCGTACCGTACCTACCTATCCTCAAAACGTCCCCCAGACCCTCCTCCCTCTTTCATCAGAAAGGCCCGTCTTCCTGTCCGTCCCTCTCTCTCGCTTTCTCCCTCTCTCTTTTGTTCTTCTTTGCTGCCAAGACTCGACGCCTCTCAAAGGCTTCTCTTCACATTCCACGCCAGCCCGAACTAGGTAGAGAACCAACCAACCGACGGCCCGGATTCGTTCGTCGAAAAAATCGACAGCGCCCGCGCCCGCCCGCTCCCCTTCCGTTTGGGGGCCGCCCAATCCACCCGCCCCTTTATTCAAAATAACCACCACTATCGACGCCCGCCTTGCCCGTCCGCCCACCCGCTCGTACCGCACCGCAACCGCAACCGCACCGCACATGCCCCTCCGTCTCTCCCCGCGGGCCATGATATGATTTTCCGGCGCCGCCGACACTCTGCACTGCGATAGGACCTCCAACAGCGGGTGGCACAGACACACGGGTACCGGCCGCCGCCCATGGCCAAGAAGCGGCGCACCAAGAAGCGGAAGGGAACCAGAACGAAACAAGACCCCGCCCAGGGCGCCTCAAGCATGTCCACCACCGACGAGCTCGCCTCGCACTCGAGCGACGGCCTGTCCAGCGGCGTGCGCGAGAGCGAGAGCGCTGCGACCGAGATGACGAGCATCATGAGCACCGAAGAGACCTCCCAGGCCGGTCTCGACGCCGATGACGATTGGAACTCGCAGGAGGAGGAGATTATGGAGGTCGACGAGGAAGACGACGACGACGATAACTTTTCCGTGTTCGCGCCCAGCCATTACCCACGACCGAGCGAGTCGCACCGCACCGAGATGCCCTATGGCATGGCCCAGAGCCATCAAGACATGTGAGTGAAACCTGTTTCAGAGGGTCACGGAGACAATAGCTGACAAGACGCAGGTCGTCAACGCGGTCCTTCATGGAGCGAGAGCTGGATTATCAATGGGAAAACGGCCGTCGGTACTGTGGCCCGCACTACCACCTCCCGAACGATGAGTGGGAAATGTGCCGCATGAGCCTGATCCACCGAGTATACCTACATGTTTTCGACGGCAAGCTGAGCACGGTGCCGCTGGAGAACCCGACAAGAGTGTTGGATATTGGCACGGGCATCGGCGAGTGGGCGATCGGCATGGCGGACGAGTTCCCGAACTGCGAAGTTATCGGCACCGATATTTCCGCCATCGCGCCCACGTCAATACCGATGAACTGCTTCTTTGAGGTGGACGACGCCGAGCTGGAGTGGGAACGCGAGCTGAACTCGTTCGACCTTGTGCATTTCCGCCACATGATGGCGGCGTTCACAGACTGGAACTTCATCTACCAGGAAGCCTACAAGGTCATCAAGCCCGGCGGCTGGATCGAACTGCTTGAGTGGGATGACCAGCAGGGCTTCAAGAAGTTCTTGTCAGAATTCCCTCCCTCGTCCGAGATACACGAGCTTCAGAGGGACCTCACGATCGCGGGCCAAAAAGCCGGCCGCGCCAGAGGTGTATCACACATGAACCCCAAAATGTTGAGCGATGCCGGGTTCACAGACATCAAACTTACAGAACACACGATCCCGATCAACGTCGAGACGGGCGAGGGTAAGTTGTGGTTGATCGTCTGCATTGACGGCTTGGAGGCAGAGTGCCTGAGGCCGTTGACGACATACATGGGCTGGGAGCCAGACAAGGTCAAGGAGGCGTGCCATAACGTTGCAAAGGAGATGGCCCGTCTGGCAAGGGATCCCATCAAGTCTCACGGGCTGATTGTCAAGGCTCGAGTGTTGGTCGGGAGAAAGCCGCTCAATGCGCCGGTGCCGCCAGTGAGAACCTTCCCGACTTCTTTGGACGAGGCGTCAGAAACCGACGATACGGCGAGAGAGGACAACCACAGCAGGCGAAGGGCTGACGAGGACGCATCCGAGGCATAAGCGAGCCTCGTGAATCACAGTGTGGAGGAAGAGGAGGCAGTTTGGTGTCGTAATTCTCTAACCCCTCTGACCGAGTGACGAACAACTCGGCAGAGCACGAATTATTCTCATATCTTGCATATATCGCGTTTCATACCGGCGGATAGTGGCTGGTCATATTAGCGATGTCATCTAGCATATCTTTTACATATTTTACTCTCCTGGGGTTTAGGTGGACTAAAAAGAATCACGGTGGTCAAACCGGATGTTGCGTTGACAGGTCATAGGTGTATGATGGATGAGCCGTGGCTGTAAGGGCTAGGGAGTAGTAGCGTAGCTCGTCGATCAATAAATCAACTCAGCCAGGTGATGCTTGACACAATTATAATCTCTTGAAAAGATTTGCACCCAAAGTAAAGTCAAGATATCGTTGGATTGATCCCGGAGCTATCAACATGGAAGAGTCGTGAGCTCAGACAGCGAGTGTCGGTACGTACCCAAGCTCCCAGGTTGCGGTGGGGGCCGAGGAGAGAGCTCCCTGCCTATGTCATCCTCCCAGGTGTGCGCCATCCAACAGCGACCGACCGCCCGATCGGCATCAACACCCAGCCTCCAGAGAGCTGCATTCCATGCGTATACCCAGCGGGCGACCTCGCCAGCACTCTTGCCAACCCGACCCCGAGCGACAATGACCGTATGACCGCGCCCACAAACCGACCATGGCCCTGAATCCGTCCGACGGCTTCGCCGCCGGCAACGGGGTGCTCGACCTGGACGACGCCGCCGCGTTGCCCATGTTCATCGTCGAGCGAGTCCAGCTGCAGTTCTCCATCGCCGCCGACTTCGTCGCCGCCCAAGTCGCGAACAACGTCCTCGTTCTTGCGCTCTCAAACGGGCGCATCCTTCGCATCGACCTGAACAGGCCCGAAGACATTGATGGTGCGTCACTTCAATGGCGTACTATGCAGGCTCCCATAGCTGACCAGCAGTTTGACAGACATCGACCTACCCAAGAAACCCGCCGAAATTGGCGTCATTCGCCGCATGTTCCTCGACCCGACAGCTTCACATCTCTTGATATGCACGGCGCTCGGGGAGAACTACTACCTCCACTCCCAACACAAGCATCCTCGAGCCCTCGCCCGCCTGCGGGGGGTTTCGATCGAGAGTGTCGCCTGGAACCCTTCGCTGCCGACCGCTTCGACCCGGGAGATCCTCCTCGGTGCATCCGACGGAAACATCTACGAGGCATTCATTGAGACGACCTCGGAGTTTTATAAGAAAGACATCAAGCTCAAGAACCTGCACAAGCTGCCGGATGGACCCATCACGGGCCTTTGGGCCGACACCCTCCCCGGCCGGCCAGACATGCGGCGGGTTCTGATTGCGACGCAGAGCCGGCTGTTCCATCTGGCTGGCAAGGTCGGCAGCGGCCATGATAGCGGAGGCTCCATCTACACCAAGCTATTTGAGTCGGAGCAGCCCACGATCCACGAGCTGTCACGCTCGTCTGGTGCTGCCGTGTCCGCTTTGGTTGTCTCACCGGACCCTCCTGATCAGAACCCGTATGAGGATGAGGCACACGAGAGAGCCTACGCGTGGCTCTCGGCACAAGGTGTGTTCCACGGGCAGCTCGCATCCAGTGCGGAAGGCAGCAAGATTTTTGCCGAGTCCAGCATGCTGCCTCGGTCACAGCTTGGCTCATCCGAGGGGCCAGGCAGACGTAATATGACAGCGGACTTTATCGAGGCGATTGTGCTGACGCAATGGCACATTGTTAATCTGATTGGCGGTCGTGTGGTCGCTACGAACCGCTTGACCGGGCAGGTTGTGTATGACCAAACGGTCCTGGAGCCCGGGCAAAAGGCAGTGAGCCTGTGTGTCGACCTGCAGAAGAATACTTTCTGGATGTTCACCAGCCAGGAGATCTTTGAGGTTGTCGTCAACGAAGAGGATCGAAACATCTGGCAGATCATGCTTCAACTACAACAGTTCGACGCGGCCTTGCAACATGCCAAGACTCCGCTGCAGAGGGAAACGGTGGCCACTGCATATGGTGACTATCTCGTCAAGAAGAGGCAGTTTATGGACGCGGCAGCGGTGTACGGCCGCAGCAATAAGCCGTTCGAAGAGGTGGCTCTGACATTCATCGACACTGGTGAGCCTGACGCTCTGCGAAAGTACCTCCTGGCTAAGCTGGCCACTCTGAAGAAAGCTGCGGTCATGCAGCGGATCATGATTGCCAGCTGGCTCGTGGAGATCTTTATGGCGAAGCTGAACTCTCTGGACGACACCATCATCACGCAAGCAGAGCTGGCGGACGGCCTCAACCCGGCACAGTCTAGGGAGCAGCTTCGAGCCGTCGAGAGCGAGTTCCAGGAATTTGTGAACAAGTACAAGTCAGACCTCGATCGCCGGACGGTTTACGACGTCATCAGCAGTCACGGCCGGGAACAGGAGCTTCTGCATTTCGCAAATGCCATCAATGACTACAACTACGTGTTGTCATACTGGGTCCAGCGCGAGCGGTGGGACGAGGTGCTGAAGGTTCTCAAGAAGCAGACCGATCCGGAGGTGTTCTATCGGCACAGCACGGTGCTCATGACGCACGTCGCGACGGAGCTAGTCGAGATCCTGATGCGGCATTCGGACCTCAAGCCCCGAAAGCTCATCCCGGCGCTGCTCGAGTACAACCGCAACTTCGAGGGCAGCTTGCTGCAGAACCAGGCCATTCGGTACCTCCAATACGTCATCATCCAGCTCAGTTCCAAGGACTCGGCAGTGCATAACACGCTAATTTCGATGTATGCCTCGCACAGCTCCAAGGACGAGGCCGGCCTGCTGTCATATCTTGAGTCTCAGGGGCCCGAGCCCAACTACGATCCGGACTTTGCACTTCGTCTGTGCATCCAGCATCACCGGACGCTTTCTTGCGTGCACATCTACACTAGCATGGGCCAGTACCTGCAGGCCGTCGACCTGGCGCTGTCGCACAACGAGGTGGACCTGGCGTCGGTTATTGCAGACAGACCCATGAACGATGCGCCGCTGCGGAAGAAGCTGTGGCTTGCAGTAGCCCGCAAAGTGATATCTCAGTCAAACGGCATCAAGACGGCGATTGACTTTTTGAAGCGGTGTGAATTGCTCAAGATTGAAGATCTCATCCCTTTCTTCCCCGACTTTGTAGTCATCGACGATTTCAAGGAGGAGATCTGTACGGCGCTTGAGGACTATAGCCGCAACATCGATGCGTTGAAGAAGGAGATGGATGAGTCGTCGCAGACGGCAACAAACATCAAGATTGACATTGCTGCGCTCGACCACCGGTACGCTATTGTTGAACCGGGCGAGAAGTGCTACGTATGCGGGCTGCCACTACTTAGCCGGCAATTTTTTGTGTTCCCCTGCCAGCACTCGTTCCATTCCGACTGTCTTGGCAAGAGGGTGCTTGAGCAGGCCGGCGTCGGCACGAGCAAGAGGATCCGCGAGCTCCAAGTGCAGATCAGCAAGGGCCTCGTCAGCGGGGCTAAGAGGGAAGCCATGATTACAGAGTTGGATTCGTTGGTGGCGTCTGCATGGTAAGTCTCATCCCCGGGGGTTTCTTGCGTTACTTACTAATAATCTGTAGCATCTTATGCAGTGAGTTCGCCATCAAGAGGGTTAATGAGCCTTTTGTCACGCCGCAGGACAACCTGAACGAGTGGAAGATATAGATGGATGGGGGCCAATTAGAGCGTATCTTTTGTACATGTATGGTACCCTTGCATGAGAGCGTGATGGCTGCAATACCCGGCGTTCAATCAATTAAGTTTCCAAGAGACACGTCGTTTACGGCATGATTTCCATCCATTACTCGTAAGCCTAGTGAGAAACTGTCTCATGGGCCGAATTGACAGTCGTTGACTGCGTTGGATACAAGCATGATGCCGATGATGGTGCCGTAAAGACCCAAAACCTCGGCAAAGATGAGGATGAGGATCATGCCTACGTACAGACGCGGCTGTTGCGTGCTCGCCCTCACTGAATGGCTCATTAACAGACATGACAAAGTAGGCGACTACTAAACTCACCTCCCGAGTCTCCAATGACGCCGATCGCAAAGCCCGCCGCGAGACCGCACATGCCGACGCTGAGGCCGGCTGCCAGGAACAGAAACCCGTTGTGCAGGGCCAGGCCTCTCTTGTTGAGGCGGCCGGAGATGATGACGGCGACGACGAGGCCGTAGATGGAGAGGATCTGGGCCATGATGGGGCAGATGATGTTCTGCATCAGGCGGTCCGGGCGCAGGACGCCGCTGTGGAAGATGGCGCCGGAGGACTTGGCCGTGCCGTAGGCGGCGCCGAAGACGGAGAAGATGATGGCTACGGCGCAGCCCATTGCGCCGAAGAAGGTCTTGTGCGGTGTGAGCATGGGGATCAGTCACGTTGTGGGTTTGGGGGGTGGTACTTACGGAGTAGGCTGGGCTGTGAGCGGGGTCAGCACGGCGTAGACATCTTTGGCGGTGCGTGAGGGGGAGACGTACCAGAGGTCCAGAGCGACGTAGTCGATGGTGTCCATCTTGACGGGGTGTAAGTGGTTATCACGAGGTATTCGTTGGTGAAAGCGAAAGTGATCAAGTTCAGTACAACGACGACGACGATGTCTGAGGCCCGCTTCTTTTTATCTACGCTTACGGTGAGACTCTCTATCTGGGTTGTCACACGGCTGCCTAGATGCATGCGCCGCAAGGCTGTCCGACTTGCAGTCATTCATTTGCCCTTGAATGTAGGAAGGATCATTTAGGTGGCGTGCCGCCCAATGAGACAGATCCGGGCTGACCACCCAACCACGGCTCATGCAGACAAGGTAAGAGGCCGCGATATCTTCGCAGCTTGATTACCAGATGTTGATATTTTCTTCTATCAAGACCTCTGTGTTGATTTCAGCACTGAGCATAGTTACTCCGGTGTTCATCTCTCGGGTTATGTCTACGTTTCTTCTCCTGACTGTACGTTGTACCTCGGCAGCGTCGACTCGCACGCATACGCAACGGCGTAATCCAGTCCCGAGTCTTATCAGCCAGCCTCAGCCGTCGGGCGAGCGATATGCGGGTGGCGTTACGTGTCGTTTGTGCTGCGAAGAGGTCTTGGAACGACGTGGTGATTGGTTCAAGACGATGGTTGTGAGGGTGGTGAGTGTAAGCCAGTCGGAGTTGGGCCGATTCGGGAGCGGGGCAGGATAATCCGGGCCTGCGGTCGTTGTCCGGACGGGGTGGACCCAGCGGGAGGGACATCGGGCAAGAACAGGGGAGACCATCACGTGAACGCGGTACACCAGTATAGGAGCAAAGTCCGACGATGCACGGGCCAAGGGGAAAGGGAGAAAAGCCGTTGCAGTCACAATCGGTCGAAGGATTTTAATTCTGGAGATCTCCTGCAGGAAAAAGGACCCCATCGTAAACTCGGCCTTTTTTTCTTTTCTACTGGGTCAGCTTTTTTCTGGGTCAGCAACTGCGAGCGGGAAAAGAACGAATGGGTGTATGAGTCGGGGGCTCGGGTGGCTTTGCATTGCACAAAAATGCGACCATGCTTAATCGCAGTGTTACGATACGATCTCGGTGCCGCGGTCTGCACCGTTAGTAGAGTGGATTTATCTCCTCATTTTTAAGTAATATTCTTCTTCCTCCACGCAGCCCACTCCGAGGTTGTTTTTATTTTGTCAGTCATGAAAATACGACGACAGCCAAACACGAGAGGCCCATTTGGCAGCAGAGATTGCGGCCAAGAGGAGGATGCCGCGCCTCCGTCGTCACCGACACTTTATTAGTGAGCTGTCTTGTCTCCTGTCTGGACACTTTAGCGCCGGGAATTTGGGGCTCTCTGGGGACCCGGACGACGCCACATCCCGGCCGTCGGATCTCGGCATCGGGCATGGGAGGGGCTTAGCTTGGGTAGGCGGGTTTGGACGAAGGTAAACAGGTGGATGACGACGGGCCACTTCCGCTTTTGGCCCTTGCTTGCCTCTTTCTTTTCTTATTTTCGCTTTTATTTCCAATACTGCTGGCCGCGGGTTGCTCACACCGGCTCGGTGGCTCCGGATTGTCGTGGCGATCGCTGCATCGAGGGACCAAGTGCATCGGGTGCGGCGGCGGTTCGGCTCAGTCGGCTCCGATGAAGCTTTTACGGGAGCGGGAGGCTTACAATCCTTCCCCTTCCATTGCGCAATCCATGAGCGCGTGAGACAGGTTCGAGGGAGGGAGCTGGAGGCCCGGGGCGAAAAGCATTCGTACGCAACGCAGAAACCCAATGGGAATACTACTGTCTCCGACACTCCGGAGCCGCGAACGGCGCGAACGGGATCTGCGCTGGCCCTCTGGCCTCTGGGACCAGTGAGAGGTGACGCTGTTGCGGCTCTGGCGGCACAGCGGACGGTGAAGGGACGGTCGGTGTGTCACCACTTTTAGAGGCTGCGTCAAACGAACGCCCCCGTCGTCGTCAGTCGCGGACGGAGCGATGAGTGAGATGTTCGTTTGGTCGTCTGGTCGTCTGGTTGGCGTCAATTGGCGCCCCTCTGGACGCATGTTCCAGCGGGTTGGGACACATCATCGGAGTTTACAGCGTTCGCCGCGGACGAATGGTTGTGCTCTGCTGTGCTGTGCTGTGGCTCAGTCAGGTAAGGTAAGGTAGCAGCGGCCATGGTTGTTCTGCGCAGGTTGTCGTTGGTTCCAGAGTGTGTCTGATGTTCCCGCGTAGCCGTGTCAGGATGCTGCCCTCGCTCGGAAAGGGGGAGGGGGGGGGAAGAACACCACCACCACTTCAGACTTCTCCTTGCAGTCCTTCGACTGCTTGCAGTGTCAAACCCCCTCGTGCGTCTTGTTTCACCATCCCTGTCACCTGGTGTCCGCACCGCCCGCACAACCGACAGAGACAGAGAGACAGACCGACCATTCAGCGTCGTCTGCGACCTGCCAGGCTGCTCTGCTGCAGACAGAAAGTGCGAGGTTACGAGGTGAAGGGAGAAATTCTGCACGCAGCAATTGGGAAACCGCAACAACGTCGACCACTCGACCTCCTGCCCAGCCCGTGGTCCTCCCACTTCACAGCGGCTTCGACAGGCCGAACAGGCGTCGGTCGGGTGCAGGCCCAGCACGGCCACGCGTCTGCTCCGCCTGACATGCACGCTAGCTTTCCTCTTCATCGGGAATGGGGACACACGCTCGACTGGTGAAGTTGTGGTTGTTCGAGAAGGTTGACGCCGGGGTCGTCCCAGCTTGCGAGCCTGTCGGTCTTCCCCCTACCTCCCTCCTGAGTTTCCCTCTGCACAATTCGCTGGCCCATCCGTCGTCCCACGACATGCAGCGGCCTCCGTCTCTTTCTCCCAAGAGTCAGGCCTTGCAGCAGCAGCAGCACCAGCACCAGCAGCAGTACAGGGCAAATATGCAATGGAATCGACGTCCCTTCTTCTGACTGGCGGTGGTGTTCCCGGTGTAAGCGTGACTAAGGTGGATGCGTTCCGCTCAGTCCCTCTCCCTGACAGACGACAACGACAACTCGAGGAGTAAGGACCCGACACCAAGTCACCAACAATGGAAGGGAAAAGATGGAGAGGCATTCCCGGCCTCGTCCCAACACACAGCCCCCCCGGACCCTGTCCACGCACCGTCCAGTGCCCCGCCGAGCATGACGACGATGGACAATTCTGCGACTGTGTGAGACCTTTAGGACAATGTGCTGCGACTTGGCAGTGTCAGCTCCCGCCTTGTCGCATGGCCCAGCGCTGCTGGGCTGTTTCTATTCAAAGAACGCTCCCCGAATTTTGACTTTTGATACTTTAGAAGCTAGCCCGCTGCTTCGTCGACGCATCTCATGTTCCTGCACCTACCACCACGACTCCCTTATTTTTTTTCCCGTCATTGCTTTGTGCTTGGCCGCCTTTTTACTTTAAACGGGCTCCTTACTCATCCAGCACTCACACGAGTCGCGAACTGCCAGAAAAGAAGGAGGAAAAGAACCACCCCACGGTTCCCGCGAATTGTGCTGTGCTGAGTTGTGTGTGTATTTTGTGTGTGGTGTTTGTGCAGAGCCCTTTTCACTCTTTAGTTTGGGTCGGTGCCAGTTCGCCCCCAACCACGAAGTCTTCCATTCATCACACACGCAACTCCGCCACCATCGTGGGTGACGAATCCTCTCCCCACCCCCGTGTGCCGGTCCCGCGCGCCCGATCCGAACGCCGAATATTGCAGCTGGCTCAATTTGCAATCACTACTTCTTCTTCTACCACTACTACCACTAGCGTCGCCGTCAATGACTTCATAGCAACGAATCCCACTCGCAAACCAACAACGGTCTTTTTCTCAACTGTTATATACAGCCCCGGCAACTCCCCGCTTGTAAGGCCAGCCGACCTGCAAGCCCCCGGGACTTCTCATAATCAGCCCTACGACAACAATAACAACACAAGACCGTATACGAATTACACAATACCCAACACACGATGAGATCGACAACATTAATCGCCCTCGCGGCCTCGTTGCTGCCGGCCGAGGGACTTGTTCTGAAGAAGAGTGAGGCAGGTGCGCCCAAGGTGGTTGGTCTGGACTTGCACAGAGAGACGATACCGTACACTCGCAACAAGAGGGACATGCTGAGGAGGAGAGGTTCAGTACAAGCAACTTTGGACAACTTGGTGAGTTGATCAGACTTTTTCGCGAAGCATTTTGGGAAACTAACAATCCGCCCAGGAAACGCTATACTTTGTTAATGGTTCCCTCGGAACACCCTCGCAACCGATGAGATTCCACCTCGACACCGGATCCAGCGATCTCTGGGTCAACACCGCCAGCTCCAGCCTCTGCTCAGGCACCGGCTCGCCGTGCTCCGTCTCCGGCACATACGCCGCCAACTCGTCCTCGACCTACAAGTACGTCGGCAGCTGGTTCAACATCTCCTACGTCGACGGCTCCGGCGCCTCGGGCGACTACGCGACCGACACCTTCACCATCGGCAAGTCGACCCTCACCGACTTCCAGTTCGGCATCGGCTACACGAGCTCCTCGGCGCAGGGCATCCTCGGCGTGGGCTACCGCGTCAACGAGGTGCAGGTCGGACGCGCCGGCAAGGACCCCTACGACAACCTCCCCGCCAAGATGGTCGACGAGGGCCTGATCAAGTCCAACGCCTTCAGCCTCTACCTCAACGACCTCCAGGCCAGCACCGGCAACATCCTCTTCGGCGGCGTCGACACCGACCACTACGAGGGCGAGCTCAAGACGATCCCGATCCAGAAGCAGGGCAGCGCCTACTCCGAGTTCCTCATCACCCTCACCAAGGTCACGCTCGGCTCCAAGACGCTCAACGAGGACATGGCCCTCGCCGTGCTCCTCGACTCGGGCTCCTCCCTGACCTACCTCCCCGACGACATGGTCACCACCATCTTCTCCATGGTCGGCGCCGTCTACCAGCAGGACGAGGGCGTCGCCTTCATCCCCTGCTCCGCCGCCAACTCGGGCAACATGACCTTCACCTTCTCCGACCCCGTCATCACCGTGCCCATGAACGAGCTCGTCCTCGACCTCATCCCCATCACCGGCAAGCGCATCGCCTTCTCCAACGGCGTCCAGGCCTGCCTCTTCGGCATCGCCCCCGCCGGCGACGGCACAAACGTCCTCGGCGACACCTTCCTGCGCTCCGCCTACGTCGTCTACGACCTCGACAACAACGAGGTTTCGCTCGCGCAGACAAAGTACAACGCCACGAGCTCCAACGTCCTCGAGATCGGCACCGGCAGCAAGGCCGTCCCCTCCGCCGTCGCCGTCGCGAACCCCGTCGCCGCCACCGCCGGCCTCGTCCGCGGCGGCGGCAGCAGCAGCGCGGCGGTGCCGTCCCTCAGACCCATTACCGCGTCGCTCCTCGCGGCGGGCGCTGCTTTCACCACCGGGTTCTGTCTTTTGTTTTGAGAAGCGTTTTGAACAACGTAATGGGTTCATGATTTCTACTACCACACACCATTTTTATGCATTGCGGCGGCGTTTTATTTCCTACTACTGTCATGAGCAAGGCTGAGAGCATCAGCAAGGCGTTATTAGGGGGATGGAAAGCAAGCATGTCACACAAACATCATCACACAGCACAGCACAGCACTCATTCCTTTGGAGAGAGGGGCATGGAGGACGATTCAGCAAAAAAAGAGAGGAAGACGAGATGAGACGACAAGACGGGCATATCGTGCCGGTTTAGATACCTAGAGCCACATGATTGGCTAATCCAAGAAAGCTTTTTTTGTGCCTGAAGTTCA